AAGAAGACCCGCAAGTTCCTGCAAGCCCGTGGTGCTCGGCTCAACAACCATGCCGAGGAGCCACCCACTGAGGCTGAGGGCTCTGGCAGCCCCCCACCGCCCTCCCAGCTGCCCTCACCCCCTCTGCCTGAGGAGCTGCCCCTGCCCTATGACAGCTTTGAGCTGCCTGAAGAGGAGGAGCTGCCCCCACACTCCTTCCCCTTCCCCTACCAGCCCCCCCTGTCCCCTGAGGAGGCTGCTTCTGACGATGATGCTATCGACCCCGACCTGATGGCATATCTCAGCTCGCTGCACCATGAGTCGCTGGCACCTGGGCTGGATAGCCCTGACAAGCTGGTGCGCAAGCGCCGCTCACAGATGCCCCAGGAGTGCCCTGTCTGCCACAAGGTCATCCATGGTGCTGGCAAACTGCCTCGCCACATGCGCACACACACGGGCGAGAAGCCCTTTGCCTGCCAGGTCTGCGGAGTCCGATTCACACGGTGAGTGCTACTGGATGGACTCTCCCCTCCTGACATGTACCAAATGACATCCCCTATGGCACTCCCCCTGGCAGTCTTACTGGAGCCTGGACACAGGCCTGGCATGGTTCATGGGGTCTTCTGCATCCCCTGAGTGCTGCCAGACCAAACTGGGGTATCTGATGGCATGCTGCACAGCACCCCTCTGCCAGTCCTGCCAGTGTGGTGCAGATTCAGAGGGTCTCCTGTACCCTGTGAGTGCTCTGCACCAATACAGGTTACCCGATGGCATCCTCCGTGGCATCCCCTGCAAGTTCTGTTGTGGTGCAGTGGGGTTATTGGGGTCTTCTGCACCTCATGAATGCTGCTGGACTGACCTAAGGTACCCAGTAGCATCTGTTGTGGTGGCCCCTCTGCCACACCTGCTAGTGAAGCCAGATCAATGGGGTGTTCTGTACTCTGTGAGTGCTGCCAGATCAACCAAGGCCTGATACCTGATGGCACCCAGAACACCTCATCTGACAGCCCAAACATGGTTGTGGTGCAGATCCAGGGGAGTCTTCCACACTATGTAAGTGCTGTCAGACCAGCCTGGGGTACCCAGCAGCGTCCCCCCTGCCAGCAGCCAGCTGCATCTCAGCCATGCAGCCATACAATAGTCCCCTGTCCTGTCAAGCATTCAGACCCCAGTGCCCTGCAGAGCATCCCTGCTGTTGGGCTTTCAGCACCATTGCCCTCCCTGCTGTGGTTGGATGGCGTGTCGTCTACTCAGTGCCAATATCTCCCTGTGTGTCCCAACTCCAGGAATGACAAACTGAAGATCCATATGCGGAAGCACACAGGTGAGCGGCCCTACTCCTGCCAGCACTGCAGTGCCCGCTTCCTGCATAGCTATGACCTGAAGAACCACATGCACCTGCACACAGGCGCCCGGCCCTATGAGTGCTACCTCTGCCACAAGGCCTTCGCCAAGGACGACCACCTCCAGCGGCACCTCAAGGGCCAGAACTGCCTGGAGGTGCGGACCCGCCGCCGCCGCCGTGATGAGCCACCTCCACCACCTGCTGGGCCCCCTAGCCTCGACCTCTCCAATGGGCGGCTGGAGGGGCTGCGCCTCTCCATTGCCCACTACTGGCCTCCAGGGCAGCCCGAGGAGGAAGAAGAGGAGCCAGAGGGTGAGGAAGGGCCACAGCCAAATGACACCGTGCCAGTGGAGACGGCATAGGGCCGATACAACAGCAGGTGTCATGCCGTTCCATGCTGAGCTGTGCTGTGCCCACTGGGGTTTCTGTTCCTGTTTTTCCCGTCACGGTTCATTCCTAGTTATGCAAAGGGGGAAACTCCCCTCGGCCGATTTGCACAAGGAGGTGGGGGGCCCCTACCACCCCCCACCGTTCCCAGGCCCACCTGGTCATGTCCAGGTGGGTGATGGGGGGATTGGGACATGGATGTCCCCCCACCAAACCCCTCATGGATGCCAGGATTGGGCAGGGGCACCCATGGACCAAGGCCTCCCCCCAGGTGGGGAGAGCCCCCCATGCTCTCCCTAGTGGCGGGGGGGCACTGCCCTGCGCTGTGCATAGCTTGTCCCCACCTCCCCACTCCGAGCAGCCCTCCCTGGCGAGCTCCCCTCGCCCCTGCACTCCCGGCTGCTTTCTCTTGGTTGCACTATTTGGGTGAGCCCACCCGGGTGCGGGGCAGCCCCGGCCCCCCCCCCGGACCCTTCCCTCTTCCGAAATCCCCTGGCCCTGTGGGATCCCCCTTCCATGGGGTGGCCGGGCCCCCACGGTCACCCCTCTGTCCTTTGCACATGCCCCCTGCAGGGCTCAGCCTCCCCGGGGGTGTAGGGGACTGGCACTATTTGTCTACAATAAGAGTTTTATCTATATTTAAAAAGATGATGTAATATATTCCCCCCCACAGCCCCTCTGCTGCCAACCACCAGCGCTGCCTGGCCTCCACATCTGCCATGGGGTGCTGGGAGGGGTGATGGGGCCAGAGGGGCTCTGCTCCTGTCATGGCTTTAAAGTGCCTTATGGTGAACTTGAACCTTTTCGGCTACTTGAACCTCTCTGGTGTCAGGAACCAAACAAACCATGGGCAGGCGGCCCCCACCCCTCCGGGCTGCCTCTGCCTGTCTGTATGTCTGTTTGTTTTGTTTGTTTTTTTTTTAAACGAAGGCTGCTTGGTAATAAACGGAGAAGCAGGGACTTCCCCTGTGTCCAGCTGTCTGTCCATTCTGCACCCCCACCCTGGAGCAGCTTGGAACTGGGGGCACTGTGGGGCTGGGGACAGGGACATTGAGAGTCTGGGGCACTGCAGGGGTGGAGAGAGGGTGCCATGTGTGGGGAGAGGGACATCGAGGGGTGGGGGTCTGCATGGGGCTGGGGGCACCACAGGGATGGGAATGGGGACACCATAAAGGCTGGGGACAGGGATTTGTAGGGGCTAGAGGCACAGTGGGCATGGAGATGGTAGCACCAAGGTGCTGGAGATGGGGGCTGGGGGCATTGAGAGGCTGGGGTCGCAGCAGGGATGGAGCCAGGGGCAGCATGGAACTGGGGTATCACAAGGTCAGGACCAGCATGGAATGGTGGATGCCGGCTCAGAGTACCAGGACTGGTGCCTTGAGGACCAGGTGATTTATTCACTAGCCCTTCCCCACCCAGTGTCTCTCAACTTCTGCCACACTGGTGAGGCTCCAGCCACATCACAGCACCTGGACCCATGTTTTTGCTGCCACATGGCACTATCCTGCTGTCACTGGGTCCTTGCCCTCCCTTTTACTGTTATTGGCCTGCTGCTGGTAGTTGAAGACTTGCTGGGAGAGAGGAGCACAGTGTTTGCAACCAGTATCCCCAGTGATGGGGAGGACAGGGGACATTGCCACGCCCACCGCCGGCCCTCACCTGCAGAACAATCCGTTCTTGTTGGCCATCTCACTGCTGCCCATGTCGCTCTCCTTGCTCTTTTCCCCCAGCTGGACTCACAGCTGGGCAGGCATTCTGGAGGGGAGTCTCTGGCCCTTTATCATGTCCTTGATGCACTGCAGCAGCTGCCGCCCTCGCTCCTGGTGCAGCAGCTGCCGCCCTCGCTCCTGGCCCCGCAGCGCCCGCACAGCACCCAGCCACAGCTCTGGTGTCTCCTCATCACTGGAGTCCCTGCAGGGGCAGAGAGGGCAAGGGTGAACTGCAGCCCCCCAGGCTTGGCTGGGCTCCCAGCACCCCTCTGCTCACATCTCCTCATCCCCAGGGGCCGGGTAGCTCAAGGGGGCCATGCAGACAGAGCAGGTGTTGTTCGCCATGCAGACAGAGCAGGTGTTGTTCAGGGCTCTGTAGCACTCGCTGCAATACAACCCTGCGGAAAATGGGCCTGTCAGGGCAAACGTGGGATCCTCTGGGGAGGGGTCCCCAAGCTGTGCGGGCTCCTACCTTTGCAGCCGGCCGTGATGCACGTGCTGAAACCTGGCTGCTCTGCAGGTCAGGCAGCTGGATGCCCAAGAAGCGAGTGAGGCAGGTGGAGGGCAGGAGACTTGTGGGCATGGGGTGGTGCTCTATGGGTCAATGCCATCCTGGGGGTCCTTGACACCGACCCTCAGGGATACCACTGATCTCTTCCATCCCACCAGGGGTAATTTACCTGTATTCACAAATCTGCTGCCATCAATATAAAGTTTTTGCCTGGTTCCTGTAAAGGTTCTTAAGTCTTGGCACCTTGACTGCTACAAGGTGTGCAGCCAGTCATATTGAAAAGGTTCTTGATTTTCAATAGAAAGTAGAGAGCAAAATGGCTTCATTTAAACCTGATATCAGACACATGATTACTTCTCTCCCTGGTCCATTAGCACAGCTTGGTGTTTTGCCAGTCTGAGATTCAGGGTGTGGCTTCATCCCTCCTTAACCCAAGTCAGGGTCTTCCAGAGTACAGTTATGTGGGTGGCAATGGAGCTGTGTGATGTCCTGTTCTGGCCTGAAAACCATCACATACTGACCAGTAGCACTAAGACAGGTGCTTACTGGGGAGGAATGAAACATTTCCTGAAAGTGCTCTTGCTTCACAGAAAAAGAGCTGAGGTTCTAAGAGCCAGGATGGGTGTTGTATCAGTGTTTCAGCCTGTCCTGGCTGCAGCAAACCATGCAGAGAGGTGGGATGGGGTGGGAGAGAGAATAGTTAAGTGGCCTTAATGGCCAAAAGGGATTGGACCTCTGTCTTGCTTTTGTCTGCAGCTTGGAGAACTTCTGCCTGAGGCGGCAGGGAAAGAAGAAAGTGGCCGTAGGAAGAAGTGTTGGCATAGGCTGGCAGTGGGGATCCCTAATGAAAGGCCTTGAGGCAGCACAGACACCTAGTGGGAGGGCCCAGGATTGGTGCATATGGGCTGTTCATCTGTGTATGTGTAAGCGGCAAAATGTGTACAGGAGAGGGTCCCGTGGCCCTTTCTCCACCAGAGGCAGCTGCCTGACGAACAAGGGCACAGGGAAGCTCTCAAGGCTTCCGGCAGTACAGGAAATGCCAGCAGGTTTGTTTTGTTACTGACATTTGCACCAGGGCAAATGCGGACATTTCCTGACGCACTGTCAGCACAAAGCTAGAGGCTGTCTAGGAGAGGGGGATGTGGGTGGGTGTACTTAAGCAGAGCAGCCTGTCGTGCCGCACGTCCTGCTCTTCTCCAGAGCCCTATTACAGCCCCGGCCCAGCACGACGCGCCACCCCGCCACCACTTCCACCCGCTCCGCCGCAGTACGCCAGCAGCGGGCGATGGGGCAGCGCAGGAAGCGTGCTCTGCGCAGGTGCGGAGTCCCTGCGTGCGCACGGGCTTACACTCCATTTCCCAGGGAGCGCAAGGCCTCCCTGAGGCGCGGTTCACGTGCGCCATTTCCGCCGCGGCTGCGCTGACTCGTCTTTGCGGCGTTGGCGGCGGGAGAGACGGTGAGGGGCGAGAGGCCCGGTGCAGCTCGAGGCTGTGTCCTCGGGCTTCTGGACAGACTGGGGGGCGCTGGGGAAGGGTCTGTAGGAGAGGATCGGTCGTCGGCTCAGGGCAGCCAGGAAGGACCGGCCGATTTCTGGCGTTGAGCGTCAGAGTCGGCATCTTCCGCGGCCAGGGGTGGGTGAAACCGGGCGGTTTCCTGTTGAGAAGTGTCCCTGAGCCACTCTGGGCCCCTGGGCTTCGTCTGGGGGGGCAGGAGCAGCCTGGGCTGCATGCACTGGTGTGCGGCTGCAGCAGGGCAGGAGTGGGGGGAAGGAAGGGGCTTCTGGCACCTGCACTTGGACGGGCTGGGCAGGCGGGTCCGTGCCAAGCCCACGAGGTTCAGCAAGACCAAGGGCAGGTGCTGCACCGAAACACAGACGGGGGAAGAATGGATGGAGAGCAGCCCTGAGAAGGATTTGGGGGAATGGGTTGACAAGAAGCTCACCATGCCGCCACAACGTACACTGAGGGCCCAGAAACCACACATTGTCCTGGGCACATCCCCAGCAGCGTGGGCAGCATGTGAAGGGGGAGAATTCTGCCCCTCTGCTCTGTTCTGGAGACACGCCCTTGCAGAGCTGCCTCCACCTCTGGGGTTCCCAGCACAGAAGGGATGTGGAGCTGCTGGAGTGAGTCCAGAGGAGGCCATGGAAATAATTCAGGGGCTGCAGCCCCTTTACTCTGGAGACAGGCTGGGAGAACTGGGGGTGTTGAGAAGAGAGACCCAGAGCCCCTTCAGGGGCCTAAAGAGGTTCCAGGAGAGCTGGAGAGGGACTTTGGACAAGGGCCAGGAGTGATAGAACAACGCCTCCCACTGCCAGAGGGCATATTGGGAAGGAATTGGTCCCTGTGAGGGAGGTGAGTCACTGGCACAGGTTATCCAGAGAAGCTGTGGCTGCCCCATCCCTAGAAGTGTTGAAGGACGGGGCTTGGAGAAACCTGGTCTACTGGAAGGCGTCCTTGCCCATGACAAGGAGGGTGCAATTGGATGGTCTTTACAGTCCTGTCCAGCCCCTACCACCCTGTGACTGTGGAGGGCAGAGGCCGTGTTATTGAAACAGTTTTTGCATTTAAAAGCCCCATCAAGTGTCCTCACTGGTCACATTTGTAGTGTTCCTGTTGTCTCCTTGTCCTCTCAACAGAGTGGCTTTAGAGGTGCTGTGTTTGGACAAGTCAGGACGTGCAGCCTGAAGCAGGGATTCGTGCAGGGGATCATAAAAGCCACTGGAGGGAGCTGGTGGTTTCTCAGTGGATGGAAATAGGAAAGAATAAATGCTGGAAGTGCTTTCTGAGAAGAACTAACTCTGTTGTGTAAGACAGTGTTGGCAAGTTGCCAGGCTTTGCAAGGACAGTTAACTGTTAGTTGCTAAAACTGATGAAATTGTTAATTGCCAAAGCTTTTGCTCTGGAAGTTATTCAAAGAGGCTTAGTGATCTGAAAGCTTTGCCCATTACTGAGATGTGCAGTCCCAGGGGTTGGACTCAATGATCCTTGCAGGTTCCTTTCAACTCGGGATGTTCCACGATTCTGTAAAGGAGAGTGAGTGATACTGGCCAGGGCTTTGAAGGAGGAGAATATCATCAACTTTTCTTCCATGGCTGCAGATCTGGGACACTCCTGTGCCAATTCTTACATGCTCACAGGCAAGTGTTCAGAGATATCAAGTGATCAGTGACATTCCATTTCCTTGTGTTTCTAGATGAAGGTCCCACTTCTTGCCGTGTTTGCCCTGGTGTCTGTGGCTCACTGTGAGGATGGCGCCAGGCTCCTGGCCTCCAAATCCTTGTTAAACAGATATGCAGTGGAGGGCAAGGACTTGACTTTGCAGTACAACATCTACAACGTTGGCTCCAGGTAAGCCCTGTCCAGGTTCAATACTGACCATGAGCAAATGTTCTCTGTGTGGCTGCAGGGTACAAGGCAATTTCTGTGCTGCGTGATGTGCTGCTGCTTTTGCTCCCTCTAACTCTGAGCTTTCCAGCAGTGCCTGAAAGATTGACCCTGAAATTTGCCTTTTCCTTCCTCTTCCTTTGTCCCTGCTTTCACCTTGTGGCTGCTCAAGCTGTCAGTCCAGCATGGTATAGTTCCTGTGGTGTCCTGTGACACTGCTCCCCATGCATGCAGCTCCCTTTCGTGGCTTTGTGAGCTCTTTTTCATGTTTATTCCATGAAAATTCCTTTTTGCTATCAGGACTTAACTAAGGACCTGACAAAGATAAAACAGAATTTCCGTGATGCTGGTAAAAAGCTTCATTTGCAGAATGAAAAGCTGATTGGATAAAATGGGGGGCACTATTAAAGTGCTTTGGGGTTTTGATTTTTAGGTTGTTTTTTTTTAAAGGCAGAATAATGCATGCTGACTGCAGTACTAAGAGAAATATATATGGTGCTGTAATGTTGGATTCATACAACTTTAATGAGATACTGTAATTTTATATGTGGGATTTGGTTATTATTTAGGCGAACGTATGAATCCATGGGATGATATCTGAAGTTCAGTAAATTGCCAAAGCCTGTTGTGGAAGAAGTGGTGTTTTTCCTGCCCTTATGGTTGTTTCTCTCAACTTTTCCTTCCTTTCTCTGCAGTCTCCTCGTAAGACACCTCAGCTCTCTTCCCCATCTTCTACTGATGACATTTCATCTTTCAAAAATCAGTTCTTCCATTTGGTCAGGGTGGAACTGTCAGTGCACCTTGCTGCAGAGCCTGTGAGCATATGGCTTAAGATTATCTTAAGATTCCTGTCTCACCCCTCTCTTTGTTATGTTTAGCGCTGCCCTAGATGTGGAGCTGTCGGATGATTCCTTTCCCCCAGAAGATTTTGGCATTGTCTCTGGCATGCTCAACGTCAAGTGGGACAGGATTGCTCCGTATCTTTTTCTGTTTTTAAATTTCTCCAAACTCTCTTTCTTGTCCCTGAGCATCCTGCAGCTTTTGTTCTATCTTCATCTGCTGTCTCTGAAATTCTTTCCAGAGCCTGGACAGGGTACCAATGCAAGCCCCTGTTCTTTTGGATGATGCAGTGTGAAAATAAAGTTCCTTGCAGATAGGACCAGGTTCTGGGGTAGTTCCTTTGCCTGGGGAGGAGCAGCTGGGTGAGCCTTGGGTGGGTCTGGCTGGCTGTGACCATGAGCACTCAGATCTGTCAGCAGCACTGTCTTTTGCACCTGGCTTCAGGCTGCTCTTTCTCATCTCCTCACTTTTCTTCCTGTGATGAAATACAACAGTTTTCCTTAACGTCCAGCTCCCAGTGCGAGTAACGTGTCCCACACTGTGGTTCTACGGCCTCTCAAAGCTGGGTACTTCAACTTCACCTCTGCCACCATCACATACTTGGCACAGGAGGGTGCACAGGTCATGGTAAGTGGATGGTTTACGGGACCCCTGCAGATACACCTGACTGCGCTCCTGGAGCTGCGTGGTCAGGGATGACATGTGTCTGTGTGCTCACACCCTGCCCAGTTCTGGAGCGAGGAGGAAAAGTGACAAAGCCTGTCTTTTCCCTGCCTTTCCAGGTTGGCTTCACTAGTGCTCCCGGGCAGGGAGGAATCCTGGCTCAGCGTGACTTCGACAGGAGGTTCTCCCCTCACTTTGTAAGTACCTTTCAATTGATAATGGAAAAGTGTGCCACGGCAGCTGCAGTCCAGTGCGGTGGCTTCCTGTTTGAACATGGTGTGCGTGGCTTGCCTAACCTGGAGAGTTCCAGTGGGAGCTGGAGTTAATTCCTGTCAGTTCTCCAGAGGACTATCACAGAAGCGGCTGAGTTTCTATCTCAGTTCCCTCTGTGAAGGAGCTGCACTGTGGAATTTGAGCCAGAAAATCTGAGAGTAGAATCTTAGAACCTCCTAGGCTGGAAGGGACCCACAAGGATCGTGCAGTCCAACTCCTGGCCCTGCAGAGGACAATCCCAGGAATCCCAACCATGCACCTGTCAGCCCCTGAGCTCTTGTCAAGCTTGGTGCTGTGACCAGTTTCCTAGGGAGACTCTTCCAGTGCCTGGGAGACCATCCTCTGGGAGAAGAGCCTTTTCTTAATATCCAGCCTAAACCTGCCCTGACACAGCTGTGGGCGCTCCCTCTGGTCCTGTCACTAGTCACTAAGGGCAGAGGTCAGCGCCTGCCTCTCCGCTTCCCCGCGTGAGGAAGCTGCAGATAGTGTGAAGGTCTCCCCTCTCTCTCCTCTGACCTCATTGCTGTAAGACTCCTCTGGCCTGGATTGTTTTGACTTTTCTAACGATTTCTCCCTCTAGCTGGACTGGGCGGCATTTGGCGTGATGACCCTGCCCTCCATCGGGATCCCCCTACTGCTCTGGTACTCAAGCAAGAGGAAGTACGACACCCCCAAGACCAAAAAGAACTGAGCAGAGTCAAATGCCACCAGCACCCCAGAGCTCGGGAAAGGACAACCCTGAACCCCCAAGAACAGTGGCTGGGTTGGGATGGCAGCATCCCCTGCGAGGTGCTGCCTGGGCTGTGCTTCAGCCCTCTGGGCAAAGGATTTGGGGGCTGCAGCAGCAGTGATGAAGTGTTCTCTGTGTTCTAAAGGAGAAACAAGCAAACAGAAAAAAGAACAACCGAGAGTCCCAAACTGCCTTGTCAGCCCCTTTGGAGGCAGAACCCTTCTCTTCTCTGCAGCTGCAACAATACAAGCAGTGTGTTAGTGCCCAGAGGGGCCTGTCTATGGGGCTCTGCCCCCTGTGCTGCCTCCAGCTCCCATTTGCCTGCTGCAGTTTTCTGCAGGGTGTCGTGTCTTAAGGCCCCCTCCAGGTGCTGCCTGCCCTGTGGGATGGAACTGACACCACAGACCTGATTGGATGGAGGATGTCAGAGCTGCTGATTTGCCCTGTTGATGCTGTACTCTGGCATACTAGCCTGCCCAGGTCCATGGTGGGCTTGTAAAGCAATGAGGGTGGAGCACAGGGAGGAGAATCAGGGTTAAATTCCTCAAGAATCAGGTGCAGGGGCTGGGAATCTCTCCCATCTTGCACTGGGGAGTGCTCTGCTTAACTACACCCATCCACATTCCACTCTCCTAGACAGCCTCCAACTTTCTGCTGACAGCGAACAGGCCATGTGCTCTGACATCAGTTGTTTCCCCGTGCGGTTTTCTGTCCCTCTGGGTGACACTGAACTGCCGGGGACGCAAAATGACCGCTGGTGGCTGAGCAGGGCTAAGGGCCCTCCCTGCTCGGAGGGAACACCAGAGCCCGGGGCACGGGCTTAGTTCGTTCCAGCAGCAGCTGCTGCTCTGGGACCCGGGCACGGCCTGCGCTCTCGATCAGGCGGTGCCGCCGCAAGATCCGTCTTTTTCCTGGGGTCCTGCACTGCACGCTGGGCGAGACCACCGCGCTGACCGAGGGGGTGGGCCTTGAGGTGTGCCTTTCGGAACCGAGGTCGCCCGTGGCATCTCGGACCCCGTGCCTTCCGGATGCAACAGCGAGGCGGCAGCGAAATGTCCACTCTGCGCCCGCTCCTTGAGGACTGCCGCCTCTTCTCTGGGTCTGTGCAGGGCTCCTCCCCTCT